CCCGGAAAGCACAAAAGCGACCTGCGCACCGCAGTTTTGTGGCGAGCCTTGCAAGAGATGACCATGATAAGGGCGTCTTGTCTTGAACCGCAACATGGAACATCTAACCATGACAATCAAGAATAGGCAAATGATGTGCTCATCCCGAGAGAAAGAAACCAAAACTGAATGACACATGACATGGAGGAAACCAACCAATCGGGTGGATGTTGACCCCAACATTTTCGTTGATGGATGTTTAGCCAACATCCAGGCTTAGGGGGTCACACGTTGATATCTGGCCGCATGGCGGCGGGCCTGTATGATTTAGGGCATGCGCGGCAAGTGCTGTAAATTACATGACCTCATGCGTGACCCTGTGGAATGGAGGGATTCGTGCTTCAGGGAAATCCGGGGACTCAAACTTAGGGCACTCATTTGAGCACACGTTCTCGAAGTGATCCGCAACATTCGCTTTGGGACCCTACTGCGAGCGCCAGACCCAGCTGTAGATGTATCCAACGAGATGCACATTGTATGAAGAGGCGAAATCGCTGTGGATAACAGGGTTTTGGGCATGCCTGCAAAATGGCATGAACGCTTGTGACAGCGCCTCGTGTTGCTGAACGTCAAACATCCTCCTGCAACATGTTGTATAAAGATGCAAAAATGCTGCAAATATGTTCGCTAATGTCATGATCACTTGTGACCGCGCCTCGTGTTGCTGAACAACAAACATCCTCCTGCAAACATTGTATAAGCAGGCGGAAACTCCGTAAATAGCAGGGCTTTGGGTTGGTTTGTGTAACATCGTCTTAACCACACCCCTCCCCCCCAAGATGTAACCTGGGCGTGTATCCCCTCGCAAAGCGTACAGGCACGCAGGCAACACAGGTGTCGCTTTCTACAGGCGCACAGCTGTAGATCAGTACTTTACATGCAAGTGATACGTGAAACAGACAGGCATGTGGACGTGTAACATCTAGTCTTTCAACCAGGCGCACGATTTGACCAATTAGCGGCTAATTCGCACGACAGCGGCTTCACAACACCTCGAGGATTTGGGGCTGGCCCACCACCTCTTCACCCGTCCCCCTGCCCCCCTTCGCATCTCTGTCTCCTCCTATCTCACTCACCCCTGAGTTGCCCCCCATCTCCTCCCCCTCACCCTTGCACTCCCCGCCTGCCCACCACACCTACCCCTCCCGCAGTGGCAGCTTCCCCAGCCAGGCCTCGTTGTGGATTTGAGCGAATTAGCATCGAATTCGCACGATTTGGGTGCCTGCCCAGACCCTGCCGACGTGGACCAATTCTAATTCGCATGACATCAGCGGCAGCTTCCCCGCAACATGTCTGGGCCTCGTTTGTGGATTTGAGCTCACCCTCCCTCTCCCTCCCCTCCACCCCCACCTAAACCCCCCCTCCCACAGTGGCAGCTGGGGCCTCGTTCCCACGATTTGGGTGCCAGCCCAACCAAGCCTCCCCTACCGATTTGGACTTTCAGTGGCTATCGCACGATTTGGGTGCCAGCCCCAA